ATCGAGTGTAGAACACCAAGGGGCGATTGTCCATTTTAAATACATCACACACACAAACACACACACTCATGCACACACACATATACATACACTGCATACATACCTGCATTCATTTCCACGTATGACATGAGCAATTTTACAAACTGACATTCGTTAAAATTAGCCTCCCGTTGATGAAGGAAAATCCTAGCAATGTCGGCCGAATCTAGAAAATTCCAGAACGAAACAACATACCTTTTTCATCCATTATTTAATACTTCTTTTTTTAGGGGTTTTTGACGTAGCAGTAACAAATACGGTACAAGTTTAACAGAGCAGACAATCAATGCGACAAGGGATCCGCTCGAACGACTATATGGTATTTTTCTATGGACGAGAAAAGCCTAAAATAGAGAAGAATGGAAAAGTTGCCAGCTGTATCACAATGAAGCAATGACTGATTGAAGAAATACCAAAAGTAATTCATGCCCTGAAAATAGCTATGAATTTACATCCGTGTTGCCCCGTTATTTCGAAAAAGCTTTCATTTGGCGTCTCGAACGTGTCGTGCATGTTTTCTAGTATTCTGCAAAATTCGAGCAACCATTTTCTTGTACGACTTGATATTTTGCACTTTTTTGTGCGATGGCTCCTGGAAAAAAAAAGGAAATTCACAACTTATTCCGTACTTGTTGATCTTTGGGCCCAGTGGCACACGCGGGATAAGACGTCGCCAATACAGATTTCGTAGGGAAGTTCGTAATTCCGGAGTGTAAGGGAGCACAAAGAAATTTTAGCACGAGAAACAGGAAAGAATAAACCATCGCGCCAAACATGGTCCTTATATAATGCGTTTGATCCCGCCTTTGACCCATACAACTAATTTGGCAGCGTTGACCTCACATTGGGATAATAAGGGATCGATGCATGTGATGGATTTGACGTCAAAATGAGGAAGACGCAGAAACAAAGCTCTAGTAATGGACAGTAACTTCATAAACAATTTTACAGCACAGGGGTATGAGGAGGTGAGGAGGTCAAGTCGCTCGCCTGCTGACCAATGGTCAGCAGCAATGGTTGAAGTAGTTGGAACTGCGTCATTGGTGAACCACATTATGAACTGCAACGGCTCAAACCTAAGGAAAAAAGAATTTAAATGGCACCAGTTTTGCGGAGAAAGGAAACCACAGGGGCATCTGCCACTGCCGGTCGGGAACGCTCGTCCTGCGATTTTTTAATTTTCGGCTAACAGAAGTTAGTGTACCTGCGGCATCGCGTGATAACCTGAAATGTTCCAATCGCGAATGAAGTACCATTAAAGAGGCAGTAATCAGCACCAGCACAAAGACTTCAAGCACTCCTAGCGTGGATATTTTTGATTCTTCTTATTTCATCGGTCGTTGAAACTTTGTTTCAACTCCGGCAGTCTCAGACAACAAATTCCACGCGAGAAGTTATGCATGTCATTTAAATTCGCCAGAACCGAACCGGAATCAAACATTTCCCCCGAACACCTAACCCATCTCCTTATCTTACCGATCCTGAGCTCATCCGTAGTGGGACGAAGTGTACCAGTGGCTTTTTCAAATGCTTCAAACATGGGTATTTTAACACTGTACAGATGTATTTACGTTCACTTCCGTTCCTTGAGATACGTGGATTGGTCTTAATGAAAATTCTGGTTTTCAAATCGCTTTGACCAATGCTGCATTGCCTAGGTGATCGGTCTACTGGCATTTCTGATGTTCGTTTCATGGATGCCGAGTTACCCTGTGCAAGAATGAGAGTTCAAATCCAAAATTTATATATTACAAAACTAAAAGATAAGTTATACACAAGAAAAAGGCATACGCAATCAAAAAAGAAAAGAAAATTACAAACAACAAATATCACATTTCTGAGGAAGGAGAACTTTAAAACGCAAAAAAAAGCTGCCAAAATACTGAAACGCAAAAGAGCTGCTGCGATAAAAACAATTGGAGAAATGACACGAAGGAAGAGCTGTGCAACAAAATAACGCAAAAATCAGTGACGATATGAGAGAAAGAAGCAACTGGCCACAAAGGGTTATCAGCCAGAAACACGTAGAAATATATTCACAACAGATAAGTGGACAGTGCAGAAGTACTGCCACGACAAAGTAGCAAACAAAAATATGTGAGAGAAGTGAAGTGTGAAAATAAAAGATGAGAACACACATGATAAGTTTTATACAAAATGATGATTATGGAAGGACAAAAGAGAACTGGCCTGAAATGCGTAACTGCAAGCAGATCAATAATCACAATAATAAGCAGAAACGAGCATTATTTAGCAGATTGGTAGAATGCAAAAACTGTGTAAATGAATGACATCAAAGTTTGATATGCAAAGGATTTTTTCTGTAAAATTTGTTTCAATTTGCCCAAAAGTGCGGTAAAATTTCGCGCCAAGCTTGTAAATACGAAACAAAGTAATCTGTTTTTAAAAAAGCCAAAAAGCCGCGACAGCGGGACTGGAACGTTTAAATTTCAATGCATTAACATTACTAACACGGAAATCACGCACTGAATATTCGGGCGGCCTCTTTAGTTCACCCAAAGTGAAAATTCAATAACCAGAAAGGGCGCTAAAACTGTCCTTTAATAAATGAGAAAAAAATAAAAAAAGAAAAAAAGTGAAAAAAAAGAACTAAGTAGTGAGATATGAAGTTCAGTCCCAAGCCAAATAAGCCACACCAAGTCGATGTAAGGCCTATTTTTTAAGATCTATCTTTGAGATATATTTTATAAGCATTTATAAAATAGATTTCAAATTAACTGTCAGCATGCCTTTTTCCAAATGTACCAATCTTTCGTTAAAATGCTCCAGTTTTTCGAAAAAAAAAAATACATACAATTCAAAAAAAAAAACTGGAACAGTGCTGCTGAACAAACAATATACAACAACCATTCAGGAGATAGCACCGCTGTGAGCGATGCTGAACTGCAAAAGATCGCAATGGCTTGCTCTTCACAGCTGAATAAACAAGCACGTTTCAACGAAAACCATTGAAAACCAGTGCAAAAGATTCCAAATTTACATTCAATAAGAAGATTAATAGATTTCATTCAAAACCTATGGTCGCTTTTTTGTCGCGCAATGATGGTATCATCTTCAGATTCATCGTCTGTTGATTCCGGGTCATCCGTTCTTAACGGCTTGAACCCCTGCAAAATAATTTTTCCTAACAACAAAATCAAGGTAAAAGGCATACTGCGGGACTGAATAAGATTTGAAAAAAAAATTGAAAGCAGCATGAAAATGCGCCTCCTAGTCAGTAAAGTAATTTTTGAGGTACACGAATGGCAACGTTCGGGACAACCGTTGATGCTCAAAACACATCAATGACATCTCAAAATCACTAAAGCCTACCAAATGCTTCTACCACGAACACCGCCGACCAGGTATTTCTTCCAAGGGACAAAAACGTTAGGATCGCCAACGGGCTGACCATCACATAAGGCAGTAAAGCAGCAGTATTGGTCAAAACAACTACGGGAGCTGCTCAGTGAAGGACCAGGCCAAGTATAGCTATTCTAAAACACAGTATGCGCAGTATTTTAATGTTCTATTTTTGAAAATATTTAACACTGAATTCGAGACTGTCCATGTGATAATTAAGCTCAGATTCATCAAAATGCCCTAGTAACAGGATTTCTCAGGCCCATCCGTATATCAGCGAACTTTTCGCCTCTCACTGCAACAAGTTTCAAGCCAATCAATGTAACACTAAAATTCAAGTTTATCATATAAGTCCACGCGAATAACGCGATTCATTGCTAAGCTCTTTCGAATTGCAACAACTTACGGCTCGATCGAGTACGGACTGCTGCTTTCCGAGTCGAATCAATCTCTTTCGTCTGTAGATATAGACAACCAAACACGGCAAAGCAATCAACGTAAGCAAAACTATCAACATCAACGGGAAGGACGAGTTCTCGGCGTAATTGAGGTGTGTGTGCAACGATGCTAATCCGGCAGTATCTTCTGCAAAAATTATCTGACCGATTTGATCACCTACTGGCTGCAATTTGCAGTCCATTCATGAGTTATGCATTCCAGTTTCCAAGCTCAACATCCTGTACAGCGCCCTTCTCCAGGCATTTGAATCAGCTACTAATCCACAGGCCGACCAGCTGCTAATTCTAACAAAGTAGTTAGCAATTTCTCCAGTTACTTTGACCAAAAAATGCTGCAAAACGTAGTGGTCATAGTGGTCAGCTTGCTGCTGGCGATCTTGATTTTGTTTCCGATTATCACCCAAATGCCTAACAGCTCAATGTTTTCCTCACAAATGTGATTGGAAAAGCTTTATCTGTTTTAAAATGTCACTGGTATGCGTTGAGTACCTCCAAGCTGTCTCGAACGTTGCTTATGATGGGGGTACCTTACCAGCAAGGGAATTTATTCGAAATAACAGAACTAGTAAAGGAATTTGTTCGAAATAACAGTACTAAACCCCGCATTTCTGAGTTAATTTATCCGTTCCAAAACGTAATTTAGCAATTTCTAAAAAACTTTTTTCTTTTATAACTAGCTTTGTATCATTTTTCCTATGGCTGGCCCAGTTTTCTAACCTCTACGTCATTTTTCCAATTTTTTTTTTTAAAGCTTTTCTCAAACGAACGAATTCTGAAGATTCTTTAGAGCAATTCAACCATCTTTTTTTCAACAGACTCTCATTTTTTAACGAAAAAATGCCTAAAACAGTGAGAAAATCAAAAGCAAAAAAAAACGCACGGCCAGCCTCTTCTGAATCGCGGTGAATAATAAACTGCAAAATTCGTCCGCCATTTTGGCCCAGTTCTCCCACGTAGATATACCGTCCATCAGCTGAAGCTCGTAGCGTGTGTGGCCGTAAAAATTGGTAACTTGTTGGTTCGAATGAGTACTGCACTCGAGCAGCTTCGGCATGTGCGCTGAATGCACGCACACGTACGCCATTTCGTGGTTCACCAGGGATGAAATATACTGCATTATCTGAAATTTATTAATTTTTTTCTAGTTTGCACTACGAAGAAGGCAAACTGGGCTTATTATCATATGCTAAGAATGCAACACCAAAAGAACAGCAAAAAGCCACCAATGCGAAGGAAGAATTTGCTTGATAGTTCACATGGAATTATGTGAATGATAGCTTGTTGGTTCGAATGTTAGTTCATATGGGATCATGTGAATTTTGCGTAAATCAGAATTTTCGAAATATGTCTACATTCTTGTCAAACAATTCAACTTCGGTAATACAGAAGGAGCTAAAATTTTGGTAAAATGGTCCTTGATTACGTTCTTATTTCACTCCCTGGCAAAAGGCGGAAGCACTTAAAAACAGAACCAATTTCTCCACGGTTCGTTCATTCCTATCGATGATAAATCGCACTGACATATGTAAGGAAGCCGAAACTACTTATAAGCAAATTTCTAAAAAAGGGCCACCGGAAGCCCTGCAAACGCTTTGGTTGCTGTTAAAACATGTGACCATCCAGGCTATTTCTACGTGTCTTCGCCTATCCGTGACGTGGGTGTAAAGGAGTTTTAAACTTTGACAATTTTTTTTTTTGTACGCTTTTATTAGTTTCTGAAGAAAGAAACGCAACATACTATGATAATGGGCGGAATAAACGTTCCAGAATGCTGTGCTGTTTGCTGGATTCACAATTTGCCCCACTGGTTGTCCAGTGCTACGAAAGATCTGTATTCGAGCATTTTCACGGTCAGCAATATACAACAGCGAACCATCATCATTGGCAACGATATCATGCGGAAGCGAAAACGAGCCCAGTGATTGGACTTCCAAGCCAGACACTGAAACGCGAGACACACAGTTCATCAAAATACTCCCTTTTATGCTCATTAAGAGGTTTTACGGATTACTATTGTCCTCCAGCCCTTTCTTCCATCCTGTTTCGATATCTCCGAAAAATGATGTTCTGCTGGTCGCGAAGTATCGCGAGTGACCTTCGCGACCCTTCCAGGCAGTTGTTTTCCTGTTGGAAGGGTCACACCCCCTCCGGTAGTATCGAACGGCAGCAGCATCAGCGAGGGGGAGGATGACCTGGAGCGAATGGAGGGAGGTCACGAGGGCTTAGGGATGGAGGTAGAGCTGGGTTAGAAGGGAATGAGAAGAGGGCGCGTGCGGCGGTGGGGCTAAAGCGTCGAAGAAGAAAGAAGCAATTTGGTCTGTGGTGGATTGGTTGGGAGAATTCTTGGTGATTTGAATAAAATAATTGTTTCGGGGCATTTTCTTTTGTAATTTTATTTGTGTGTTCCCGACTCGTTTGAAGAAAATCGTTGTTCGCCGTGTCGCTGTGAAAAAAAAAAAAAAAAATTAGATTATCGAATCGCGTGGCAGCACTGTTTGGTAATTCAAGAACTCATTTTTTCCTGTCCGAAATTAGGGATTTTACGATACTGCTTGCTGCAAGACTGATAAAAACGCAAGAAGCATAATTGGAAAATTAGATCAAAGAGAAACTTACTGCCATAGTTTGGTTGACCCCACTGCGCCAGGAATTTTCCATTTCGGTCAAATTTCACAATGCGATTGTTACAATAACCATCAGCAACATAAATGTTTCCATCAACAGTGACCGCAACACCGGCAGGCTTACAAAAGTGTTGCTGATCGGAGCCGGGAACAAACTTCTCGCCCAGTACAAACACCTCGGCAAGCGACCCTAAAACACGACATATAAGAATTAATTTGACAAAGGTCACCAGTTCTATTTCCGTCTATACTTTCATCGGCAAAAAACATACGTATTTTATGAAAGCTTTTTGTTTCGCGCTGATATAATTCATTTTTGATCAAAAGGGGGCTTTCGAGGCATCTGGTTGGCGGCACTGGATGGTACAAGCAGCGGGTTGAAGCTAACCCACCCTATGGCTGTGCCCTGGCTTCGTATATATTTCCGCAAATATCCTCACTTAAGAACTGCAAACAACCTCATTCAATATCCTCATTCTTTTTCAAAAAAGCACCGGACCTTGCGAAAGAGTCCACTTGATAACTTGATGTGAACCCACATCTGTTGTGTAGTAATCATTTTGCTGGTCGATTGTCAATCCATGCGGCATGAAAAATCTGGAACAATTTTTTTAGCATTTTGAAAAATAAATTAAAAACAAACTGCTGGTAAGTATGGTGCACTTTCTAACGGTACCAGTTTCGAGATGAAGATCGATGGTTCGACTCTGTCAGTGGAAAAACCAATCCCTTTATAACTTTTCTGCTTATATTGGCGGTCAAAGAACCCTGATTCTCCATCCTGGAGAGTCAAACCAGCTGTAGGCTTGCTTCGAAGCAACCCTCGAAAGATGGAGCCATCGACAGCCTTGCTAGCCGGTAAGATGGGGCTACTATTTGGACAACCCCTGGGTGCTTGCACCTCTCGCAGATATTGAATTTGGAGGGGGTTTTGGCCTTCATAAGGCTTAAACCAAAAAAGACGTGATAATTTATTCACTAAACGCAAAAAGGAAAAGCTGTTAACTTACTTTCCACCGCCATGTTTCGATAGCAATGACAGCGTTCTATTGGGTCCATTGGTCTGTGTCACTAAAATTACATCATCGGCAATTGCGGTTTGTTCGTGTAGAATATTTTCCGCATCGAATGAACTAAAAAGAATTTATTTCAAAAAAATATAAAATTCTGGAACCGGCCTTGGTTACTTCCGAACGAGGAAATCTTGCTAATGGGAGGCTTTTTTTTTCTGGAAAGCGAAGAGTGCTTTCGCTTCTTATCAAATGTGGCAAACAACTTTCAAATTCATGGCAAATATTCAGCCTGCAATGCGATCAGAGCAAACTAAAGCTGAGTTCTGCACCTTTTACATTCATCACTTTCCCAGTTATTCTTCTGG